AGGTGGGGAGGGAAGAAGGTATCTATGATTGAGGCGCCAATTCAGCCGAATATAAATGAATTCAAACTCATATCTAATCAATTCCTCGACTTGTAGATGCGAGTATAATGAAATCAAACCCCTACCCAACTCCTTGACAAGCGATAAATTTACTTTATCAAACCTGAAATGAAGTCAGTTTCTTCAAAGACAGATAACCGCATTGGACCAATTCCCAAAACAAGTCAAATTCAACAGATATTCTTCATTGGAGTCGAAAAATTTCTCTTTTTCGCGGGGAAAACCAGATTATTTGACAAGATAGATAACGAATAGAATGCAATTTCTTTCTCTTATTGTTTTGTATAATGAGATATTCAGTTAACTTCAATTAATCCGGACACAAGACCAAAGTGTGAAAAACGTGCTTGTCTTTCTTTGAAAATCAACATTGAAAATATTGATTTGAGAATCGAATTCTAACCACTGGCTCAAATGAAAAATATGCAATCTTTCGTGTTGTCGGGAATGAGGAGAATATAAATTGTTTTTACTAGCTAATTATTAAAAAATATATCTGGACTGGTGTATATTTTGCCAGTCAGTTAAGTGCCATCACGTGATACACGCTCGGGCGATCATGTCTCTTTTGATTCATGATTCTATAGAACTCAGCTTTCCCTGCCATTCAATACATAGCTTTAGAAGAGATGAATTGAAACTTTCCCAAGTGCTCGTAAATGAAAGTGACGAAGCCGACTGAGATTCGAACTCGGTTATCTGATTTTCTTTCCGAAGGGCTATCCATTACATTATGTGTGGCGATTGTGTTACGCCAATCTTTCAAGTGAGGAATATCCTTCCGGAAGGCACATATATTTCTGACAAGATTTCTCCAATATTCCGGCCGGTAGAAGAAGTAGGATAAAAATACCGTTTAATTAAAAAACAGAGCTTCTATTCGAATATGAGCATCCATAAAAAATAACACACACACACACACATATATATATATATATATATATATATATATATATATATATATATATATATATCAGACATGGATTGTTCAGACATATTAATATTTTTTATATATATATATATATATATATATATATATATATAAAAGTGAACATTGAAGTCAACACTTAGAGGCGAGAGGGTGTTTCATGATAGACGCAATTGTCAGGCCGACGAGTCAAGACACAGAGGCGACAGGCTGTTTCATGCCTGACGACTGCGCCTAGCATAAAAAGCCTGTCGCCTCTGAGTGTTGATTTAAATGTTCACTTTTATATTTATATTTGCATACGCTCTATCTCTAATATTGAGGAGTTTAACCCATAAATATAGTACACCTTAAAAGCTAGATTTCTTCATATATATATATATATATATATATATATATATATATATATATATATATATATATATATATATATATATGTAAAAATATATGGATATAGATCCGACAGTACATCGTCATTGTCAGGTTGAATTGATAATGTTAATTATATTTTTATGAATATGGCCTGAAGATGGTTTATTAGACCGAAACGTCCGACGTTGACATATTAACATTAAAACAGCATAATTGCATATAAGGATTTTTGTTTGTTTTTTTTTCTGTATATATTTTTTTCATATATATATATATATATATATATATATATGAATGAAGTAATATAGTTTTAAGATGTGCTAAATATATATATATATATATATATATATATATATATATATATATATATATATATGTATATATATATATATATATATATATATCTTAATATATATATATTAATATATATATATCTTTATATATATATATTAGTTGTGTTATATATATATATATATATATATATATATATATATTAAGACAATTTATGTTTATACATTCTTTTATAGATACAAATATTTAAGTAAATGCTCTGTTTATAATAAACAGTATTAAACAACATTTACCGGCCTCAATGTCCGAGAAAAAGAATGTATAAACATAAAATATCTTAAAACTATTGTCGGGCTTTGTCCATTTCATAATATATATATATATATATATATATATATATATATATATATATATATATATATATATATATCAATATATTTAATATATATATATATATATATATATATATATATATATATATATTAATATGTTTATATATATATATATATATATATATATATATATATATATATATATATATATATATATATATCTTTAGGAAAGAGCAAGGGACAATAATAGACAATCATTTGCACAAACTCAATTTCCATAAGAGAGAAAGGCCAACAGACAGGAAGCAAATTGAAAACTATTGATAGAACTTTAAGATGGCGACTGAAAAATAATGGCCATGAAAGCATAAAAACAAAACTTGATGTACTTTGTTTTTATGTGCAATGTGTCTTCCATGAGATCTGAGAACCTGACTGTCAAACACCTGTCTTTTCCTTTCTGTCCATAAGTCATTTATCCCTGTTAATCTGTCCATTCACGTAATCCTGTTAGATAGATTATTCACTGTTTCTCGTTTTTATCGGTGTCTTATGAGTTTTAAATTCTCCAAGCTTTCTTTCCTCAATCTGTTTTCCAAACATTTTAATTGTCTCTTTCTGATTATAAGTATAAGTTTCCTTGGATCTAATTTCCTTCCTACTTTTTTGTTTCTCTCCATGTTCTATCGAAGATATTCTTCGTATTCCACCAAATGTGCTGTAGGCATAGCAGCAGTGGTGCATCTAGAACAAGATAACCTGACGAGGGCCATCCGTCTTCAGACTGGTTTTTGAATTCGAAGTTTTATAGGAGGTCAGAAATTACTTTTTTAATGAACCGATTGTATTTATTTCGAAGAAACTGTTGTCGTCGGGTCAATTTGAAAGCTATAGAATTACTGAGAGTAGCACTATACACAGCTTATCCTGCGTCCTATACATGAAGAGAAAGCTGTTCCGGGAATTGGGTTCCTGGCAAGAGAAATATCTCAGAATATCAAATGCAAATCGGTAACATCAAACATGTAGAAATTTTTAAACATCAAGGAAGTGATTTAAAGCTAATCAAGATAATAAAAAACAAGAAAATTTCGTTAGAAACAAAGATTAACAGAACGGTTAGGAAATGTTGCGTTTTGTATTATCGTCTCTTAGTCTCCACGCTACGACTATCAACAAAAAGAACCGTTTCTATTTTCCCATTTGTTTTATAAGTGGGGGGGTGACAGCTTGGATTCTAATAGTCATTAGGAGAAGGGACGTCACAGGAACGCATGTTGCAGGATGGTTCAGCATCTCACCGCGGATGGTTTTAGCTGGTCGCTAACCTGGGTGTGGGAAGCATATCGCAGCTTAAGAATTATTGCGACCGTCTGTTGAATTCACGCCGTTTTGAACTTATATCCAAAACCCAGACAAAGGCAATCCATCACTGTCAGAATGCCCCGGCCACGAGGCACTTTGGTCAATAGCTGACCATTCTGGCCTTGGCCTTCGCATTCTGTAGTAGTAATATTAACGTTCTTACATTATAGGTCATAAGATTGGGGACAAGGATTTAAAAATTTGCCTTTTTTAAAACTAATCTACTAGCACACTTTTAAGCAGAGGCAGTTTTTCTTCCTGAAGGGTTTGATCATATATTCAATAATAATATCAATGTTAATAATAATAATAACATTAATAATAATAATGACGATCATAATGCCGAAATGAATTCATTACATCTCGAAATTTCCTTAAAATATTAGCTTTTTATGCCTCCTATATCATACTGGCTAATGGTAATCTTAGAGCTGATATATTTATATTTTAGGTACCCCCATTTTCTACGAAATTTGATACCCTGCACTAATGATTAAATACTTTCTGCATCTAGCTTAAAAAGAGTTCATTAAACTATATAAAGCATAAATCCCAAGGGTAGTCCAAAAATTTCCGAGGGGAACCTATAGCCGTGGAAGCCGAACAATCTTCTAACACATGAACAGACAACTGGAGGTAACAGAAATATTTCCGCAGAGGAGAGGACGAAGCGCAGATGAAACAAAGAAATCATAAAGGAAATGGAAACAAAGTGGACTCTTAGAATACGCCAAATCAAAAAAAAAAATGCCAATTCTTGAACTCCTAAATGGAAAATAGGAGAATTTGACACTCACAGGACTTATCGACTGCAAAAGGAGCAGGAGAAAGCATCGGGTTGTCTGCCTGACGACCTCCAGTGAACGAGTGCTGAAACACTGGAATTATCAACGGCACAAACGTTGTTAAGAACTACAAGGGATAGGATATTGTGGAGAGACATGATTGTCCACGTCCTGAAAGAACATGACATACAGAAGAAAACTGATTTAGAAATATTGCTCTAGTCTGATTTTATTGTAGTAAACCCCACTACAGTACTATGAACTTTTCTTCTTGTCGTAAATACTAACTGCGAGACTTACTAGGGAAAAATCGTAGGGTAACGGAGACTCAGTGTTAACCTACCCTTCTTACTGCTTATTAATAACACTCTTGATTTGTATATATATATATCTGTTATTCCAATACACTTGTTCAACCTACCTTCCTCTTCCATGTCTTTCTTTCTGGCTTCTAAACAAGCCACAACAGATTTAACGCTACAAATTACTAGAAATATAACCGATAAAAAGATTTTACATCCTATAAACGCTTCGTTTGCGGAAATATATTTAACTTTAAAATTTAGCGGCTTTCATATTTGAATTTTTCTGATGAAGTTTAATTCTTAAGTTAATGATTAAAATAAGCTCATTGCGATGTCTACGGCAATAAAATATCCGTAGATACCCCACTATTATATCGTTAAATATTAACAAAATATTGCAATAAAAATCATAATTATGAAAGCTGATCGTTATTTTAAAGAAGTAAGGGGGTACAAATCAAAAGATTGAAAAACTTTTCCTTTTCACTGAAACAGACGTTTCTTTTTCTCACTGAAACTAAGTAGCGTCTGTGACAGCAATTTACTAAGCGTAGCTTAGATGCGACACAAGGCCAAAAGTATAGGAGTATATAGTTAGGATCGACCTCACTACTCTGTCATAGATGGTATGGCGAGGTAAGCTTGATAACTATTACAGCACGTCGAAGTGCTTGGTTGCGTTTGCGATATTTTGTTTTCTCTCTTTCTACACGATCAAAACGGAATGTTCCATTATTTATGAAGTATTGGCGGGGCGTAACGGTCGTGCTAAAAGAAAGGAAGAATTCTAATAAGATGTTAAGCGTTAATGATGATTGCTCAAATCAAAATACGTCGTCTTATCGGCGTGTGGTCTTATGTCAGTAGCTCTTGGGCACTTCCACCGTGGTGTAATGGTTGGCAAGCATGTCTCGCCAGGTCAGTTACAACTGAGTAGTGAGTTCGATCTTCGCTGGGTGCTGCAAGCTTTCAGCCTTGTGTCACATTTAAGCTATGCTTAGAAAATCACCATATAGACCCCTCACTCTTCATATAGCAGCATGCGCATGACTCAAGAGCTCACCGTCCTGAGGAGCTTAGTTTAAGGATCCAACATGGAGCTGCTTCCGTTAGATGATGATGATAATGTCAGGCACATTCTTTGCTGGGTTTCCATAATTCTTTTTCTAGCAAACATCTCTTCGATGTATATTTCGGACAATCGTTCTCCGCTTCGCTCGGTGAGACTACACAACTTAAGCGTTTTAATATTTTTTTTGGGGGGGGGGGGAAGATTAGTGCCAGACCAGCTTTGTCCAGAAGGGTTTGTTTTCTTATTTGATCTGTTAGGCGATTGATGCGATTCTGAAATGTTTCCACTATCTTCAGTTCATTTTACACAATCTCAGCCGTAAAGCAGTACAGGTTGGGTGGCTGGTTTATTTTGTTTAGTGGCATATCAACATCTCTATGGGTTATTCAATGCCGAAATCAATTTTCCACGCAATTTTATAGCTTCAACTCCATATATTTTATACATAATTTTATACTTTCAATGCAAACGTATTTTTAAGATCGTTTGTAGATCAAATGTATTGTTGGCAATTTAAAAAAAATGATTTACGGGAAATTTTGCTACCAAAATTCATTTTAATATTTTTTTAGTGATTTTCATTTTACTATAAACATCTATTCGTCATTTTATTATATCAGGTCATCCCATAAGTTCTGTCCGAATTTTGAATAAAGAAAACAAGTGACCAAATGTTACATTTAATTACAGAATCAATCAACAATGTATTTTCCCTGATTATCTATGACATCATTCCATCTATTAACAAGCTTACTTATTCCATTACTGTAAAATTCTTTTCGCTTTGATTTGAAGAACTCACAAATGTCAGTTTTAACCTCTTCCTGTGTTACAAAAGCTGTTTCTTCCAAATGATTCTGTAAGCTACGAAACAAACGATAGTCTGAAGGAGCAAGATCGGGAGAATAAGGTGGATGAGGAATTTTCTCCCAACCAAGTTCTTGTGACGTGATTCTTGCTGTGTGTGGTCGCGCATTGTCCTGATGAAACATCACCTCTTTTCGATTCACTAGAGCAGGTCTCTTTTTCCTCAAAGCTTGGTTCAAACGCTCTAATTGCTGACAGTATATTTGAGCATTAATTGTTGCATTGGGTGGTGAGAATTCAAAGTGGATTATTCCTTGGCGATCCCACCAGATTGAAAAAAGAACATTTTGCCCATGAAGTTCCCTTCTCGGCCGTGGCTGGGGTCCTTCCCCTTTACCAAGCCACTGTCTACGACGCTTAACATTTCGATAAAAAGATCCATTTTCGTCGCCATTCACAAGTCTATCCAAAAAGGTGAAACAAGTTGGCGAGAAGAGCAGATGTCAACTCAGGATTTGAGGTTGTTTTCAGACAATTCATGAGGCACCCATTTTCCAAGTTTAGGAACTTTTTTCAAGTTGTTGAAGATGACGATGAACAGTTGTATGGTTTGAACTGAGAACCACTGCCAATTCCTCAACTGATAAAGCAGGATTTTCTTCAAGGGCTGCTTCAAGAAGCTTTTCATCAAACTCAAGGGTGAAATCTCCACTTCTGAATTTTGCAAACCATCTTCTGCAAGTTGTTTCATTCACACATTCCTCTCCATAAACTGAGTGAATGTTTCTAGCCGCTTCGGCTGCTGAGTTTCCTTTCTTGAACTCATAAATCATTGTGCCTCAAATGATTCTTGGGTACTTCCATGTTAGCAGGGTTTTAATCAAACAAAATTTAATTTTATTGTTCTCTGAAATAAAATTTGATCAGTTTAAATGCATCTAAACATAAAAATAATGTTCAGCTCCATTAGACATTATAAAATACTCTTTTTCGTTCATTTTAAGAAAAAGTTAAAATTCGAATAGAACTTATGGGATGACCTGATAAAATGTATTTTTGATATATTTTTTTTTAAATAAAAATGTACTGCTGGTAATTTCGCTAAAAGATTTATTGCTGGTAATTTTTTTTTATAAAAATGAATTGCTAGTATTTTTACTATAAAAATACGTTTTGTTTAACAAGTGCTACCACCCCGGGTCAGGATGGACCTAGTAACAATAGCAATAATGAGATGTTATCACGCTCCTCATTATCTTAAATTTCACAAGCAGTACAGAGAGAATATATATGTTGTAGATCTTAGTTTTGATTTGTAGGGAATACAACCTGACGTGAGAAGTGTTTTGTTCTTTTCTAACACTGCCTGATTCTGTGTTGAAGAGTAACTGGACCTTCATCCGAAAATGAAAGTTGCATACAGCAGTCGTTGGAAGGAAAGTGTGTAGAGTGTGGTCGTCTTTCTACACCACAGAAAACTTTAGAAAAAGGTCATACCATGTGACGCATCGTAGATCTGTGGATATGATCCCGCAATCAACGCTCAGTTTTCGCAGTGAAAGACTCCCCCAACCGCTCCGTCGCAATGTGAAGATAGCTGTCAAACAGTTTACTTGGTCAAGTAGTAAACAAGAATTACTATCGTGATTTGTTTGTTTGCTCGTCAAAAGAAAAAATAGAACATTGGGAACTCAACCATGACAACACACCTGTGCAAAGTTTTGTGACAATTGCTATGGAACGAAGCTAAAGTCTTCAGAAGGAAACCTCTTGAAAAAGATTGCCCTTAAAATGTGTCGCGCATACACAGTAAGTTATAACATTATAGCTTACCCCCATTGTTTATAGCAATGCTTAGGAGGAAAGTGTGTAGAGTGTGACCGTCGCATTACACTACATAGGTTCCCTCAGTGACCATGGCATCTTCACTTTTTTTTTTACCAAACACAACATTCCCAGGTTCGATAACCACTACATTCACCATATCTCGCTCCTCGCGACTTGTCCCTTTTTATAAAAATCAAATCCCACTTGAAAGGAATAAGATTTCAAGACGTCGAGAAAATCAATGAATGCGACGAGGCAGCTGCTCGCTATCCTCCAAAAAGGAATTCCAGAAATGATTCTATCAATGGAAAGGACACTGGATTAAGCGTGTAGCTTCAAACAGGGACTACTTCGAAGGAGATTAAATGCCGAAATGATATGTGTTATAGTTTTCTTTTTATATCACCAGTCCTGATACTTTTTGATCAGTCTTGTATATAATAATACTCTATCTTTTACTGACTAGGCGACATTATTTTATGTATTCCTGAGTAGGAATATTAAGACTGAATTATGTAGAGATAATCGAAGATAATCAAAAATCTTATTAAAGTATTTTTATGAGAACAGCCGAGAAATTTGAAATGGAATGAATAAAGTTTCACCTGGGAAATTGGGAAAACAAACCACTGAAAATTTTGTAATGAAGAAAAAGACAAAAATAAAAAAAAAAGACAGATGAAATGAGGAAGAATGAAATAATGTAAGAAGAAGATGTAATATGTAACATGAAGGAAAAAATGAAATATGTTGAATGATATACACAAAGAAGGAAATTGGTTACTGAAGTCATTGATGTTTCAAAGTCTCCTGTAAAAACGACTGTAACCTTTTTGCAGGTTGAAGTCATCAAGGCTGGAGTTTGATCTTCTTAACGCCATTTTGATCCCTTCGAGTCTTGGGATCAAAAATTTGCACTTTGAGCCTTTCGTTTCAAAGATCTGTTGTCACTATCAGAGAGCCCAAAATATAACAGACTCCACATCTCAAAGCCTCCAGATATGACTCTATCTCCCCACCTTTCTCCCTTATATATATATATATATATATATATATATATTTCTTGCCTTTCTCTGTTTCTTCACGAGACATTCTGTCTATATTTATTCTTTTTGTATATTTTTCACTTTACTCTCTCTCTCTTTAATTTGACTTTCTCCCCACCTCTCTCCCTCACTCTGTATTTTTTGTTTCTTTTTCATCTCCCCTCTTTGTTTCTTTTTCTATTGCTTTTAGTTCTCTCTCTCTCTGACATTACCCTCTCTATTTTCCTTCTTTCTTTCTTTCTTTTTTTTAAATTTCTCTAGCGCTCTCATTCTACTCTCTTTTTCTCTTTCTCCTTTTCTGTTTTCTTTGTTCTCTCTGTCTTATTTTCTCTCTCTCTCTCTCTCTCTCTCTTCTTCCTCTTCTTCTTCTTCTTCTTCTTCTCACTCGTTTTCTTTTTCATATTCTTGTTTTCTTTTGCTTTTCTCTTACTCTCATTTTTCCTTTACTCTCCTCTTTCTCTTAGGTACCCCCTCTCTCTCTCTCTCTCTCTATATCTTTCCTCTCTCAAGTTTCTCTCTCTATCTTTTCATTATCTCTCATCCTTTTTACCTTTCCTTTCCTTCTATATTATTCTTTTCCTCTTTCACTTTTCATTTTCCCGTTCTCTCTCTCTCTCTTTCTCATTTCTTTCTTTCTTTCTTTTCGCTCTTTTTCACTCTTTCATTCATCTCTCTCTATCTCTCTTTCTTCTCTCAGTGTCGTTTTTCTCTCCTGTTCTTCTGTCACATGACACAACCGAAACCAACTCATCTCACCAACCCGGATATGCGGTCAATGTCTTATGCTTTTACACTTCCGGCTTCTATTGAACTTTTCAAATGTTTGACATAAGTCAGTTCATAATCGACATTTTGACTCTACAGTGAACACAGATTCCACTGTGTCTCCATATCCCGAGGTTATCTCTACCGTATGCAGTACTTCACTTTCTGTCGTAGAAAAGATAAAGAGATAATTTATATAAAGAATTAAATAGTAATATTAATGTGATTAATGCCGAAATTACTTTGCTAACAAGAATTAATCAGGCATTAACTTACTATCAATTCCTTGAATAATAAGATCTTTATATTCGGATTGTTGTCAGACACATGCTAAGTACTTTCAACAATTTCAAATTGTCATCTTCAAGACGCAATTTTTTTCTATACATAGGCAAACACTAAGCGAAATATGTTTAGAACGAAATGTTTTTTTTTTAATATATGCTATCTATTGAGAGTTGAATATATGTTTTGGAATGCGCGATGTCACGACGCTAGAGTTCTTGGTACGTGTCTTCCATTTGACAATAACTCGAATATAAGGATCTTATTATTTAAGGAATTGATAGTAAGTTAATGTCTCATTAAGTCTCGTTAGCGAAGTGATTTCTACATTAATCACATGAACATTGATATTATTTCTTTGTATAAATTGTTTCTTTATGATATAAAATATAAGAGTTCTACACACTCTAATATATATATATATATATATATATATATATATATATATATATATATATATATATATATTAAACGTGTTTCTCATTGAATAATATAGACATATTATGTCTGTTAATTTTTTGAAAAATAATCCTTTCTAGTTCTCTGACCAAGTACCGTGATTTTTTCTTACCCAAGTACTTTCCCGATCTTCTCATCTGCACAAAAAAAGAAATTGTAATATATATAATACATATCATTAATCAATTAATTAAAATTCATTGATACACACACACACACACACACACACATATATATATATATATATATATATATATATATATATATATATATATATGTGTATATATACTGGGAGTAACCTGATTTTCGACGTAGGTCGGAAGTCACCTACATAAGCATCCACGAGTCTGCCTTATGCTTGGGAGCCATAACGAAGGGCAAAACGTTCACCTAAAAAAACGATAGATAGCGAATGCAGCCAAATTCAATATGACATACGCCGTCTTCCTGAGAAAAGCGCCGAGTGACGACGTTTTATATTATGGGAGATGGCGCTGTAACCACGAAACGCCGCACGTTGTTTCCGACGTAACCTGAGTACTTGCTGTACACACACACACACACACACACACACACACACACACATATATATATATATATATATATATATATACGAAGAAAAATATACGGAAAAAACAAACAAAAATCCTAATATGTAATTATGCTGTTTTAATGTTAATATAATGTCAACGTCGGACGTTTCGGTCTAGTAGACCATCTTCAGGACATATTCATAAAACATAATTAACATTAGACTATATTCAATTCAACATGAAAAGACAATGGATATAAGAGTAAGACTAATCAAAACAAATAACTGAAATTTTTCAAGATCAGCGTTATGTTTCAATATGATCACGTCGGCGTCACGTCGGCGTCACGTCGGCGTCACGTCGGCGATGTTGTGAAAAGTCCGACGTTGACATTATATTAACATTAAAGCAGCATAATTGCATATTAGGATTTTTGTTTGTTTTTCCGTATATTTTCTTCATACTGCCGGATCTATATCCATATATTTGCTTACATATATATATATATATATATATATATATATATATATATATATATATATAATACTTGTCAGCTGCCAATATACCACATAACACCCTTCATCACTAAGCCTTGGAGTGGGTAGAATGGAGATCAACGTGTTTTAGTGAACTCAGTAGTTTTCGGTCTGCTTGTCTGAATTATCTTCAAGAAGCGAGAGCAAGATCTAAAAGGTCAGCCAATCTAACAGGGATCTAATCCCACAATCCTCACACTTGCTCTATATGTGACCTCATTTGTAAATCACTAGCAGGTCTTAAATGCCACTTAAAATTATCGCACAAAATTTCATAACTGAATCAACTAAGCTATCAGATCCTCATATGTCGAAACCGACGGGACAGTCCATTATATATAAGACATAAAAGGTTAATGATCAGAGTTGAGTCCAACCAGGAAGCAGTAGTATTAAAAAGTGCTCAATACACTTTTGGAAAAAAAATGTACAGCTTTTAACTTTAAAAACAGGAGGTCAGTTGACTAAGCGACATTAGTTACGGTTACATTATGGTCTCATCAGGTGATTTTTTATCAACTGATCACCTAACGTTTTTTTATTTAAAAAAATCCACAAAGAACGCGACATTATTATTTTTAAAAAAAAATAAATAAACGCACGACGATCAAGCAGAGGGCGTTAAGTGTAATAGAAAGAGGGAGGGTGTGAAGAAAGAAGGAAAAGGAAAAGAAGAATATGAAGGGTGAAGAGAAGAAGAGAAAAGCAAGCGTATCGAATATATAAAGGAAAGGAAGAAGAAAAGAAAAAATACACCAAATGTAACGTAAATGAAAAGAAGATTGTATATTAAATGTAGGGGAGAATGGGAAATGAAGAAAAGCAAACGTATTGTAAATATAACAGTGGAATTTTAAATACATTTTTTACCCAGCCTCATATTCACTTAATAAAAAGTTTTTGATATGAAGACAAGGACTTAAAATTTCGGACTTCTGGTTGAAAAGTACTTTTTTTTTTTATCCAAAAATGTCATAATCTCTAATTTCCTATGTTGACATAGGTTGCAAATGTTGTTATGATTGTGGTAAATTGGCCTCCACTCGGACCCTCAAAATGAAAGAACGATGAGAGTCAATGAATTGGTCGCCAGTTAGTCTATTGTGAATTAAGGTCATCGTCTGACGAGGTCACCTGTGGTAAATTGGTTGCCACTCGGACTGTCACCAGAAATAAGACTCATCGAAAGTCGATTTCGTTTCCAGTCATTCGTTACCCACCAGTTCACAATAAGTTCAGTTCTTTGGTATTTCCATGCATTACTGAACAACTACAATGCTTCGGACATACGATTCTTCAATTCAACAAATGAGGCCTAGTCACAAGAAATTCCACCAAGACTTCTCATCTCAAATAATTGTCGCGAACTACAAGACAGATTAACCTGCATTACAAATAGGACATTTTACATTAGCATTCGTTCGAAGAATTCTTAACGTTTTCTTCGATAACGAACTCTCTACAACAGGAACTTTAATTAAGTTTCTCAGTTACACATTTTTACTCTTTAAAAATATTTTTCTCTTTAAATAATATATATATGTGTGTGTGCGTGTGTGTGTAGTGCAGTTCAATTTATATTAGAATGAATCATTCATACAAAAAGTAAATTAGTAAAGTTAATGATATAAAATGGCGAAATCACTTCGCTAACAAAATTTTAAAGATGCATTAACCTACTAATCACTCGATGAATGTTATGATCCTTGTTTTTTAAAATTAGACTTTAGAAGGAACCGGAAACCCAATCTTAAACAGGAAACCCTACCCCTGTTCAAAAGAACCGGGCGATAGGCAATCCTATTTAATTCGATTGGTAGAGAAGAAAAAATTTAGATAATAAGGTTTCATAGTTCAATCATAGACTTTAAATGTATAGATTTGAAGTAGACTTTAGAAGGAACCGGAAATCCAATCTTAAACAGAAAACAACGGATAAACCTCTACTCCTGTTCAAAAGACTAGGGAGAAGTGTGAACGGGGCGATAGACAAACCTATCTACTCCTCGTCATTTAGATTTCAATGTCATGAACATTGGCCGTCGTTTAAGAGGCAAGGGTTTAAACTGTAACACGTTGTCTTCAACAATCTTTTAATAACACAACTTCTCCAGTCATTGGAATTTATCATTTTTATATTTTATCATTATGATTTATTTTATTTAATGCGTGACTACGCTATGATTTAACCCTTAAACGGCGGGAAGGTTAACAAAATATTCTCAGCAGAAGTGGGTAATCTTTGGCTGAATGGGTGAAATTCAGTGAAGAATAGGACAGAGGAGTTTCTTATTAATATTTCGTATTTTATTTTCTTCATTCCGTACTTGATTTTATTTATTTAAGTGTAAACATTTTTGAACGTGTCTATGTATATTTTGGTTTCTAATCAACTAATGGCCAGCCTAAACAGTATGACCAAAATTTGAAGTCATTTGTACGTATATATCGGCATATTTTGTGTACATTCTCGCACACAAAAAAGATTTGCTTACTTAGCGTTCGTTTAAGAGAAGGGATTGATAGAGGAAGAAGGAAAAATATAAGTAATTATGGCTGCGTAATTCAAACAAATCATCGCTAGGATGCCGTATCAAGACGAGAAAATCCATTTTTTTAAAACAGTAGATTTTTATTTTGTTTTAATTAAAAACAAAAACTATTTTAAATATCTAACGGAGGCAGGAATCAATAATTGCCTGGGCTATTATGTAATGGAAGCAGGAATCAATAATTTCAGGTGAAAGAATGTTATAGTTATCTTTCAAAGATTAGCTATATTTCCAGTATGACAAAACTAGGTAGACTATTTACATTATTCGGACTAGAACAGTCCACCAAGTGAGCGAAATAAAGGGTTCAGTTCGACATTCCAACCACCTGAAGAAGACCGGAACGTTGTAATAAATATGGCGACAAGGATGAGGACAATAATCCGAATAATGTACATAGTGTACATAATACCTCATCTCAGAAATATAGACAGACAAGATTCATTCATATTTGCTGCGGGACTAACAAGGATTTATAAATTGGTTTTATTTTCCGCGTGACTGAACTAGGGTTCCTTCATATTTACTGCGGGGCTAACTAGAATTTAAAAATAGGTTTTATTTTCCGCGTTACTAAACTAGGATTCATTCATATTTGCTGGGAGTCTAAACTAAAATCAAATGTAAGTCAACTTCAATAATTTTCATTTTAAAATTGTTTCTGTTTGTCGCCTGACTGA